CAGAGCTCAACACAAGGTTTTCCACATATTGGTAATCATTTAGGCCCCTACTTTACAGAGCAATGCCACAGAATCCGATACCGCGAAGGCGGAAAGCAAACTCAGCTCTAATACTCTATGTGCCGCGACTAGATCAAACCCCCGAAACCCAAGCCCTATACCGCCGACACCCTACAGGCAGATGCCCCACATAAACCCTACAAGCCCTGACTTTGCCAGCCACTTCGTCGACACCTCCGCTACGATCTTCCCCAGACCTTGAACCCCTTTTTCGGCTTTTCGTCCTTAGGCGACCTCCGTTACGATCTGCAGCATAAGCGGCTGGAGCTCGTGGGGGGCAGCAAGGCGCAAAGCTCTGAACGTCATTAGGGCAGCAGGGCCTTTGGGCCTAAACCCTAAACCCTAAACCCTTAGGGTTTAGGGTTAGGGCTTGGGTTCAGAGTTTAGGCACATTATCTCACTCCATCAGTTTAGTTTGGGGGGTTGTTTGTAAGCCTTGTCACGAAGTCCTTTGATCCTTACTAGCATAGTATAGGGGCCTTCATGATTTCCTATACTATTTTGAGTGGCTTCTTATTATCGTTATAGTATAATAAACCCCAAAACCGTCTCCTAATTATTAAGGCCCCTACAGTGGGTCCTTATAGACAGCTTCAGGGAAGCCTCTGGATGATCAGGTTCATATTCCTTCTTGCAGCGCTAGGTGTTATCACTCCATCAGTTTAGTTTAGGGTTTAGGGTTTAGGGCTTGGGTTCAGGGCTTAGGATGCCATGGTGCCCCCAATATTGCTAGTGTTGCTACTGTTCTACTTTGCTGATGTACTACTTACTCTACTGGTATAACCATCAGTATGTTTCTCACACTTCTTCTTAATCCCTAGTCCTAGTAGTGTGCTTGTTCTGAGTATTACTGCTACTACTGGCGCTTCCATCAATGTGACTAGTATTGTTTGCATACACTTACTGTGTCCGTGGACCCTAAACCCCTCGACCTTAAACGCTCATTATCATGGCCCCCTAACCCTAAACCCTAAAACCTAAACCCTAACCTTAAACCCTAAACCCTAAACTCAGAACCCCTACACCCCAAACCTGCACTTTGCACAAACCGGCGATGGCAGGCGCCCCAGCCAGCTCCGATCGCTAAGGCCTCGTCGCCTTTAGTGGCTGCTGCTTGGTTTAGAGAGGTTTAGGGTCTGGGGTTTAGGGTTTAGGGTTCAGGGTTCAGGGTTCAGGGTTTAGGGCTTACGGTTTAGGGTGTAGGGTTCAGGGTTCAGGGTTTAGGGTTTAGGGTTTTGACAGAGGGGTTGTTTAGGGGTTCGGGGAGGATACAGAGGGGACTTGGGGAAGTTTTAGACAAGGACAATACCCTAGCTGCTAGCAGAGAAGGAAGTTCAGGAAACCACGAGGGGTAGGATGGGGTTTCAGGGGGTGGAGTTTAGGTCTAGTTTAGGGGGTCGTGTTTTGCGTGTGTGTGTGTGTGCAGAGAACATACATAGTATATATATATATAGAGAGAGAGAGAGATAGATGTATGTAGATGTACATTGGTATGTAGATGTATGTATGTTTGTACGTATATGTACATGTATATATGTATACATACACATATCCAAAACCCGACCCCCCCTCATAGTCTCACAACTACTGTAGATTCAGGTATTAGGGTTCCATAGTTTGAGCGCTTAGGGAGGCTCGCCTGACATCTTGGACGCGAGGATGACTGGTGCTGTAGTTTGCCTGGTACTGATGTGTTGGCAAGGGGGTTGAAGAACTTGTTCGAATTTCCCCGGATAGGCCAAATCCACACATCTATATGTGTATATATTTATATGTATGTATATATGTATATATGTATGTGTACACATATCGCATATTTACATATTCGTGGATTTTACAAATACATATGTACATACAGATAAGCACATCTAACGAGCTAACAATAGTGCAGCACACTCCAAATCCCTGCCTTCAGTTTCAGGGCCCTGAGCCGCGAAGCACTCACCACCGTGTCCGAAACCCTAAGCCCTAAAGCCCGTATACGGTGTTATTATGCCATTTTCTGGCTTGAAGGATTCGGCTGCATTCGGATCTGTGCGTCTTTGTCTCAAAGAAGGCAGGTCTTTGGGGTTTCAGGATTAGGGTGTAGGTTTAAGGTTGAGGGATTAGGGTTTAGGGTCGAGGGATTAGGGTTTAGGGATTAGGGTTTAGGGTCTAGGGATTAGGGTTTAGGGATTAGGGTTTAGGGTCTAGGGATTAGGGTTTAGGGTTTGGGGATTACAGTTTTCTAATCTTTGATGGTTCGCCTGAGGCTAAACAGCCAGCGGCTGCGACGTCACTCTCCGGGGGTGTGCCCCTGCACAACGGCATCGTCATGCCATCCGGCCATTAAGGCGTCAAGAAACAACATCGGAGGGGTGTGCGGGCTCAGGGTTTAGAGACCAACCCTGCGCCCCAAACCCTAAACGCTAACTTACCGGTAATATAGGGGCCTGAATAATTAGAATAGTCTTTTGGGTCCCATGATACTCTTATAATAAGAAACCCGAAAACAAGATTCGTGTCTGCAATCTGGAACTGCAGCGACTTCAATTCGAATTGCGGCGACTGGTAGACTTCTCTCTGCGCACACACAAAACGATGATGTGCAGAAGGTATGGTCGTTGTCATGTTGCCCTTACGGCTTATCCCGTCCCCATGTACCCGTATTGTCAATTCTATATACTTGGGCTTTAGAGAGGCTCCCATGTAGGTATTTTACAGCCAAAGTTTTTCTGCTGCATAGGTACATGCACCGTTCGGGCACAATGTCTGAAAGCAATACAACGCCACAAAAACACTGCAATGCCCGCATTGGAGCGGATCTCCTAGCAACCCTATTCCCTAGCAAACCACGAAAAAGACTAGTTTGCAACCGTATACTACACCAGTAAAATGTATTAAGCCCGACATAAGCCTGCAAGAAGTCATGAAACCTTACAACCATCCTGTAACACCCATGAAACCCTGCAACACACGTACACTTCCTTCGCAGCCGAGGCCCGTGGTGGGCTTTGGTGGCAGCCTCGGATCGGGGAGCTTCGTCTTCTGGGAATCCCGGGGCTTAGGGTTTAGGGTTTAGGGTTTAGGGTTTAATGTAGGGGCTTAAATAATTACCAAGACCATGTTGGGGGTTCCCTCATGTGCCCAAATAGTTTGTACTTTGGCCTTAAAGTAGTCCCGGTATGGGTATACTACTTCAAGGCCAAAGTATATACTATATAAGGTCATGGGCCCTTACTTGGAGGTTCATGGGTAGTTATAAGTGGGGTTATAAGTAGGGTAACCGTAGTTATAACCCATATAAGGGGACTTATAACCCCACTTATAACTACCCATGAACCTCCAAGTAGGGTTACCGACAGGCCTCAATCAAAGAGTTCCCGAAAGGGTTGAGGGTTGGGAGGCCTCCACAATTAGAACGGCGGTTCCTTTGAGAGTTCGATACGTCCATAACGGCTTCTAGACTGAGAGGGTTGAGGGTTTAGGGTGACTTCGGGTGCATTCCGGCCAAATGCTCAACGGGAACTAGGTTTCTATCTTGTGGGAGGGCTAACTAGTCTGCAATAATATGTCCCGGCGCCGTCTTCTACTACCTTGACCCCAAAGAACCTACTTTTTTAAGGACTTATATAAGGAAATCATATTAAGGAACCCTGAAAAGGTAGGTTCTTTAGGGTCCAGGTAATCGTTACTTGTTCCGGCCTTATAAGAATTGGTTTCTGGGTTACCCAGAGACTCCCAATATCCCTTAATTAAGGAATATACCTTAAATCATAGCAGGATCCCTAATATGATTTAAGGTATATTCCTTAATTAAGGGGTATTGGAGTCTCTGGGTTCAGGGTTTGAAATAGGGACGCAAAAAAGCACAGAAGCAAAAAATCGGATAGGGATATCCCATGTAAATCCCCTTATAATGAAGCCCAATAAGGTAGGGATATCCCCATGAAATGCTTATGCTTATGTCCTGTTTGGGGTTCCTATGAAAGGAGGAGCAACCTGCTGAGGTACCTACAAGATGTCCAATTCCGATGTGGTGCAGCCGGTGACAGACGCCCTGAAAGCTGGCTACCGCCTCATCGACACAGCCCAGGTGACCCCTCTGCATACCCAGACACTCCAATAGTACCCCTTAATTAAGGAATATACCTTAAATCCTATTAGGGATCCTACTATAATTTCAGATATATTCCTTAATTACAGGATATTGGAGTCTCTGGGTAGTCTACTGTATCCGACCCGCTATAGGGTTGACAATCCGAAGGTTTTAGCTGGTCTAGCATCACCGAAACTACGTCAGAATGATTTTTGACATCTCACTCCGCATGTGCAGAAAGGTTCGAGTTCGATAACGGTGCAGAGGGCATGCTGCATGCATGGAGGCGAGCAGTGTGACATACGCCCATGCACGACAACCCAGCTGACAGAAATACGTTCCCCTAAACCCTATACCCTACAGCCCTAAGCCCCAAACCCTAAAGCCCTAAGCCCTAAACCCTAAAGCCCTAAAGCCCTAAACCCTAAAGCCCTAAACCCCAAAGCTTAGGCCT